AATCAAATTGTACTATTGGTCACGTTGAGATTATTGATATTCGTATTGATTGATAAATTTGATAAGAACACATTATATAATAATATGGCTGACAATGAGTAATTAGGATATAAGAAAAGATATCTCGATTTTCCAACAGTTAAATAACTTATAAATATTGTTATCTGTAAAACAAATTAAACATACATCAATATGAAGATCGTATTAATCTAAATAGTTGAATTCATAGGTTCATCTAAGTTGGATGGATCATTGAAATCCGAGAATTAGTAGACGGTTATATTGTCGTAATATGGAACTCTTCATTGGTAAACATTTATGATCGTGTTGGAACAAATATTTAGAGAACAAACATTCGCATGTGAAACCGAACGTCTTGGATTGGGGTCCTATGTTTGGCATCGTGGATGAGTACTACTAAAGAGTCTCATACTGTAGCTAAATGGCTATTGAATGATAACAGGTTTTCGGTGGTGATCTAGTTAAGAATGACTCATGAATTTAAATGTATAAAACATTCATAAGCTTGGCTTTCATATGCATAACTGAATAACCAAATTAAAAAACCGATGATAGTTCCTATGAAATTCTGTGAAGAAAGTTTTACCGAAAATGACAAGAGTAAACTTTGTCAAATGAATTATAATTAAAGTTCATATAGCACTGTTTACGACTGAAATTGATCAGTCTCTCTCTTATCGACTTATATGCATCTCAAATTTGATGTTAACAATGCTTGATGCGTTCGACTACATCACTCCCTATCTGTGATTAGACCAGCTGTTGACGCAAGCCAGTCCTGAAGCAACAACTTGCTTTTAGAGAGGGAGAAGCGCAACCCAAAAATTCGGGCATTGTTGCTCAATGCTACCAAAAGACTGCATTTAATCAGCGTCATCTGCGTATTCTAAGTCGATAAGTGATTCACCTGGATGGAGCTCAATACCCGAAAATTCCGTCGACGACAGCGCTATTTTCAGCAGTAAATGTATGATAAACTCGAGCGAAAATGGAGATAACGAACAGCCTTACCGGACATGACTTGAGGTTGCAAAATCAGATGACAGTTCGCCATAAGCTCTGACTCGACTAAAAGTGTTCTAGTGAAGATCCTTCACAAAGTTTATGTACTTCTGAGGTACTCTTTTCAATGAAAGACACTGCCACAGAACTTCTCGATCTACAGAGTCAAATACTGTTTGAAGGTCAAAAAAGAACATTGTTGGACGCCAAAATGTATGCCTGAGTTCTATAACCTGACGAATGGCGAATATGTGGTCAATGAAGCCGCGACCAGGCCTGAATTTAGCCTGATTTTCTCGTTTTCTGAGTTCACGAGTTCACGATAGTTACTTAGGCTAGTATTTTAGATGCTATATTAGTCAATCTTATTCCTCTATGGTTGTCACAGGATGATTTTGACCATCTCTTATATATCGGGACCAGTCAGATGGGACAACGTTCAAGTCCCAGATTTTAGCTAAAATATTAGTGAATATAATGGCTAAAATTTGATAAGTATACTTAAAGACCTTTGGAGCCAAACCATCTAGACCACCTGTCCTTTCTCGTTTCAGATTATCTATAGCCTTATGAACTTCAGCTAAAGTTAGAGGACCTACTTCTATGTTCCATTCACACTTTTTGGGATTGGTGGGTAGTTGTAGATTAGCTGAGGGCCAGCTGAACTGCTCTTTAAAGTGGTACGCCCATCGTTTTAAACTTCTGGACTGGGAGCAGATATGAACGTCGACTTTTTCCGAGATAGTTTCACTTACACTTAACTATTAAGTTTTCGATTGACATCATGATCTCCACAACCTCAAAACTGACAATCAACATGTGCTCACAAGTGACTAGATTTGTGAGGGAATTCTCGGCGTTATAGTGAGAAGTCATGGAGCTAATCCGCGTCGGGAAGAGACAGGAATCTACCTCAATACACTGGCAGATGGTCGCGTGATTTCCTGGAATGGCTGATGTTGGACACTAACACCATTAGATGCCGACTCAGTGGTCGAGTAGGTTAAGCGTTCGCGCGCGAGACTCAAGGCCCTGAGTTCAAATTCCGCGAGCGGGTTCGTGGATGCGCGCTGCTGAGTCCCATACTAGGAGGAAACGGTCACCTGCTGCTTACAGGTTTCCAACGGTGGTCCAACATTAGTCGATTCATGATCTCAATCATAAACCACGAATAGATATCACTGCTGTTTTCACAGCTGTTTGTATATTTTTCAGAGCAACATCTGGGTCAGCCTCGTTTTCAGACCTACCTAAGTGTGACCTCAGTTGTGCCCCAGATCTATTTTCGGCTATCTCATCACTTAATTCAATCCTAACGGGTTGCCTTTTTGAAGCTTCCCTGCGTCCAGTGACGCGCACGAAGACAAGTACCCGTATAAGAGCATGATTAGGGTGAAAGCAGTCATTACAAAACGGGCGAAAACGACGTGTGTCCTTGTCTTTTCCAGTTCTTACGGAGCCGTTTAGCTGGACACCGCATAGACGGCTGTTAACAGTGATCTACTGTATTAGTGCTTGTTCTGCCCTTGTGCTTAGTGCTATGCCTACACCTGCCAGTTCACAAGAAATAGTCATTGGGTGGCCAGATACATGGAGGGTGTGTCTCGTCAGCTCACTGTTTTTCTGACGTGAGGTCGAACGAATAATCACTCTAGGATCTTGTATATGTGTTTCAGAGACTTTGCATACATCATTCGTACGAGATTCTAGAGTTTCAGCTAAGGACGCCAGTTGGCCGATTTGACGTAAGGTGCGTAATTTGAAGGTTTCAAGTTGTAGTTTGGAGAAAGGTTTCAGTAGACCTGGGACAGTGTTTTGCTCACTAGAATCGTTGGCGATGGTGATATTTGGGGAGGAAGCCAAAAAAAGTTTATTGTTGAATGTCGACGTAAGAGGAATGATAGGGACTGCAGAAAGAGGTGGAATATGAATGTAGTGGTCTTGATTGCTGTTAGAGATTTGAGGGCTGTAATCACTTCCTGGTTCCTCACAGCGTTGAAGGGTTCTTTTGGAGTTACTCGAAAATGTAATAGAATTAGGGGTGGTCTTACTGACCTGAGAGCGTGACCGCAGTGCCCAAGGAACAACTGCTTGTGGTTGGTCACACATGACCTTTTGATGAGTAATTTTCTTATTAGCCCCGTTTTTGTTGAGACCTTACCACCGGAGACGGATGTCCTTTGGATAAGACAGGATGTGCATTTTAAGTTCAACCTTTTCTAACCCCAACTCTCCTCATGGGAAGGAAGCATCGCTGTCATGCTGGTTGTCTGAAGGAAACACCTTACTGCTGTCACACCTCTGTACAGTAAGCAATACGACTTCGCCTTCGAACCTTGGATTTCCTGCCTTTAGCCTTCAACCGGCTTGTCTGGCATGGTAGAACCTTGAGGAACGATTTTTCCAGCCAATGTAGCTCGATTAGTTCATCACGACAGAAAAGCTCGACCATTACGTCAAGGTAGCAACAACGGTCGGGTTATCATATAAAGTCATTTCCAGCAGAGATTGGTATAACGCAATACAGAATTTATTTGATAAAACATCCATTTCTACTTCAAATTAATCATTATATCAATAAAAATGTAGATCATTTGAACTCACAACGAAAAATGTTATTTGTGCACCAATGTAAACACCGATCTCTTGATGCTGAAAACAACAAGATGATTCAGTGAATTCATTTCGATAATTCAGCATTATATTTACATTAAACAATAATCAAACATGACTTTGTACGATTATTCCATCGTGTACGTCCGGAAGATAAGTCAATTCAATCGCGTTTATCTCATATCTGAATAGATAAATTCTAATCAACTCTCTTTATGTTACCTTGTGTAGAACAGGACATATCTGGATGTATCGAAGCCAGGTTTCGCTCTGTATCAGCCTGATTTATTGGTCTGTTATAAATTTTGGATTGAAAATAATGTAAATAGATTGCTGATGATTAGGATGGATGTTGTGCTTTTAATAAATTGACAGAAGCGTTCACAGCATCTTTGCAATAAGTGTGTTATGAAGCGCATATGCCTCTCACTTGTGTATTTCGTATAAACATGTAACGTATATTAGTTAGTAGAAAGCTGTTGAGATACTCTTTGGTTCTGATATGTTTCTTCAAATGTTTATTTTATCATTCAAGTGTGTAAACTGTTTGATCACTTAGACTCTTTATGTTCAGTGTTATAACAAACAGAAGATCAAAATGAACGAATTACGTACTTTTGATACGAGAGAGAAGATACTAAATTATTTTAAATATGACTACTTGACATGTTAGAAAGATGAATTTTTTAAAGAAAATACCCTACTAAGTAAAACTGCAACAGACCCTCTAATGGACAGAATGATTTACAGATTTGTTCTTTATCCTCTTTCCAAACAACACTACACCTTTATACGATATCAATATTTATTGATAGATTGTTTCGTCCACATGAATTCATCTTCTGATAATCTGCTTCACATCGCAACTCAGTTGACAGGTCTTCTATTTCATGCATAAGACTACAACACCGCATAATATCAATCATACCAACCAAATAGTCTGTAAATTATTTAAATTTACAAGTTCAGCAAAAAGAATACTTTGTACTTTTGATCGACTTTACTCAGAACTCAAATGTCTAGAGAAGTTAGTTACTTACTAGCTAGATTACAGTGAACAGCTTAGGAATTGGAACTATCACACAATATCATGAAAAAAACTAGATTTATTCAGAAATACGTAATTTAGAAATCAAATAATTTAAATCACTATTATACCTTGTAATTTTTTAAGAATCTGAGCACAACCGCGACTATCAGAATGACAACAGATATAACCGAAAATGATATTAGAATACTCATTAAGTGATCCGACAAATCTGTTTTAATCGCAGCACCAATCAATAATGCCGATGTGAATATCATCAAACTGATTCCAAATACCATCAATCTGTGAAGAGGATCTAACTGTGCATTCCAAACTCCTAATGCAGTTGCCATGCAAACAGACTGAAAATGAGAACGAATAATAAAGTTTGAATAGAATACTTATTGGGTAGTTTGTGATTGCATTATATATGAATGCTGATAACAATGTTTACTGAAGGTATGAATACTTTCTCCGAAAATGACTACTTCAAATTTGACACAATTAATTTACTTACTGTTTATATATTTAAACACATAAATATGGTTACAACGTGGCACTGAATACATATGCATCACACGTGTCATTTAATTTCTGTGTGGGTTGTGAAACCGGCCGTGTGTACAGAGCGAGGCAATGGGTTTTCTTATGTGACCACATCAGGAGCCTTATATCTAAAGGTCCGATCAACAATGCAGTAGCGTTACGTTGTGAGATGCAGTCCAATGGTGGCCGACGACCAACGATTTTCTCATACGTCATTTGCTCCCTCTGGAACCTGAAGCTTATGTAAAACATTGGTTCGAAATCTGGGATTTTGACTTCACATAGGTGAAAATTTATTACATGCCAACACTGCGAATGCACCAGGCACTTGCTTTCATCCTCCTTATATTGCAGGCAACACCGGCACCTCGAATAGGCCGTGAGTAGGATTTTCCTGTCATAAGCTGTATATGAGTTGCCATGTGAGAGAATTTGGAAAGGGAGTGCTGAAGCAATCGGCATATCTATCGCAAGTGATAGAAGAATTAAATCAACTTTTAGATCAGTCAAGATTTCGCTTTCGCATGCCTCTTCGGTGTCATAACAAACTGTCATACCAGATTATATTCTACAAGCAAAGCTCTTACTCTCATTTACATACCTTTTGTTATATTGGATTAAAATAAACAGACTAGCAAATTAAATGTGGAAAGATTATCAGAAATTCTTACGTAAACAATTACAAGCACGACATTCAATGGATATTTCTCATTTATCTTTTTCACGAAAGCGATCAATAAGACTATCACAAATGAAATCAAACTACAAAATAAAACAGAAGCATATGTTCAGCATAACATAATAAACTCCAATTGTAGCTATTCTAGGGCTCATGCTGGTCTGTAGTCCGGGAACGGAAGAAGGTTGGGCGTGTAATCGGCAAACCTATCCCGTAGAAAACAACCTTGCAAAATGAAAACGCTAACAAAAATAAACCTCCGATTTCAAGGAAGAATTATATTCCCCACGACGCAAGCCGAGATCCATAAGATGTCAAGTGGCTGATGCTTCTTCTAACAACCAGATCAGCAATTTTTATAGGTATACAAAGTATCCAGACAATGTGGGAGACCAAGAGGACCAGTCAAATAGCAATGAAAATAACCAGGTATATTTCCGCGTTAAGTAAATACTAACATGTTTAGTAGTGGAAAAATTTTGTCAATAAAATCACAACATGCTAAGGATGAAAACAGCAAATGTTTCTACTGTTGATGTTATTTGTAGATCTTCAACATGTGTCAAGATCTTATCACGGCAGGAGTTTCCAATACAGAACTTGTCACAATCAACACAACCTCCTGTGTAGACAGGATTTTCTGTGGCAATGAATGGAATATTTTATTTCAGTCAAAGCTTTCCTGAGAATCTTGTTTGGCTTGTAAAATATTTCTAACACGCGTTGTAATTGTTCTGTCCTACCTCATCTGTAAAGTAGAACCACAGCATCAATAGAAGATATTTCAGTATTATTGTTATTTACAAACGAAGAATTTTGTTTTAATATATTTTTGATAATCTCCTTCTCTTTCAGCTTGTATTTTTTTGATGCAATGATCTGATGGCGAGATTAGAATTCATGGACGAGCCAATCAGAAGCGCTCAAGGGATTTCAGGGTCTCGACTCCAATTTCAGTACCTGATACTCACGTGCAACTGGATCACAACTGATTTTAGACAAAATGTGATAATAACGTAATAACAAACGGGAATACTAAGACGTTCCTTCGTTTACGTTTGCGGTAATCAAATAACTTGTGGATCTTGTGCAGACTATCGTGATGATGGTATCATTCGACGTAATATATGTTGGAGAAAGAAGTCTGCTGAAACAGTATATTCTCGTTCAAGTGGACAATCAATGAACTGGTAACTGGTTGCAGCCAGTTACCACAAAATCTGCAGATGATTGGAGATAATACAAATACCTACACAGATTTACGTATGGTTATCATGTCGTTATTTAAAAATAGCGTTTTGTGGACCAGTTAACCGGAGTAAACACAAGCGAAATTGAGGCTATATGGCTCGAAAGCCCTACTGCTATGAAGCTATATGGATGCGTTCCTTTAACCCAATAATTACAATTTTAGAACCACTGAACCTCTTCCTAACCTGTGGAAAATTTTGAACTATGTGAAAGAAGGGTATCCATTTTAATTCTTTAGTTCTGCATAATATATGTTTACTCTATACGAGGGTCAATTAAGATCCGTTTAAAGGTCGTTCATAAATTATAGTCTCATTGCTACGAAAGTACAAGTATCTCCGATTATTACTATTCTATTTGTCTCATTATTGGATGGCTTATTCGCCAGTACCATCAGACAATGAAATGTTCAGATCAAATATTATTTTCATTCTGCATTATCCCTATTGTACTATTTAAGCACGGTTTGATTCATCTAAGTCATTCACCTACTCTGAAGAAGTGGCTTATATAGAGCCATGGATTATCAGAATTACGATTTTTCTACTCACTGGGTGGGAAAATAATAATAACACACTTCCTAACCAACGCTCAATCTATTTGAAACTATCCAGTTCCTCCTCGACATCAATAGCTGCACACATCTACATCATTCTGCATAAATATTAATTACCTCTGACGTACGGTAACGAATCCACAGTTGAAATCGATTTCACCTAGTATTGCTGTTTCCTCGAATCTTCAATAGATCAGTCTCTTATTGGCATGTGTGCATACTGTGAGGACTGCATCGATATTGCCTTAATGCACAAGCGTTGTAAGTAAAAGATGGATGGTGGTTAGCAGTGTTATCCATTTTCACGGGCGCTTCGTCCTACTTCGGACTGATCAGCTGGATATACCTACAAACAACAGTTGATTGCCGATCTGGAATCGGACCCATTATTATTCTCTTCACACGTTATAACGTTAACCACTTAGCTGCTCAGACTTGATAACGCAATATTACGCACATCATGTACATACACATATATTCTGGGACCATCGAGTATGTAATGCACTTGCTTAACAACAGAAAACAGGTAAAGATGGCGAATCAAATGATGAGGTAGTGAAACGTCATCAGTTGAGATGGCTGGGACATGTGTTATGCATGCACATACGGAAAATACTACGGATACGTCGGTCGAACATTATGAGAAACAATCTACTGTGGGAGAGTACAAATCCAATTCTAGTGGAGGAACAAATCAAGAAGAAAAGGCGCGAGTGAATAGGACACACATTGGATAAAGCATTCAACTACGTCACAAGGCAAGTCTTCATTTGCAATCCTCAAGGCCAAAGCAAAAAGGAAAAAGAATGAACTCACTATGCCGAAATGTGTAGGCAGACACGTGAAGAATAAACAAGAACTACGAAGGAATGCAGAGGACAAAGTATGTTAGAGAATGCTGGTTGGCAATCATTTCCCCATTGGGAATAACAGGAGTTAGTAAGTAAGTAGGTAACCTTGCTATTTAATCGATATATTCAATCACCATCTTATATTCAAGCAAATTATTAAACAGATTATTATTAATTTGTAAAGCAAAATGATGGCATAACATACAGCAATATACCAGCGATAATGGACGATATCAATTGCCAGCTATTTTGAACATTCATCCTACTACAATATAGACAAATATTATCATCATTGTTGATTATGTAATTTACAGTAATGTCGAGAGCATCAGGATGACAAATGATACTGATATTTGTATTGCAATAAGTATGAGCACCTATCATTGCGAATGATTTCATTATTGATAAAACATAATCTACTGTTTTGGTATATGTGGATACAACAGTTATAGGATTATCATGTTGCATAACGTTCATCAAATTAATTCCTTCAATGATCATCCATCCAAGATTTCCAACCATAGCAAACATTATTTCCAATGTGGTTTCCTATAATAAACAATAAATTATCATAAGAACCTTTTATCATAAATGTGATTGATCACATAATATACTGTATTCAACGAGAACGCAAGGGAGATACAGCAAAAAGCTTTAAAGCAGCTGGGTTCTGCGTGATGCATGCTACTGATGTTGACAGATATAAGCAGTGCGTTTCATCAATGGAAAGTGAAATGCCTGAAGACAGAATGTTAAGAAAATTGAAGAGAAGAGGACGAGAACAGAGAATAATTGGTGTTGAATCGAAAGTTTCAGACAATTAGTTGACATTTTGCAAATGGAGTGTTCACTATACGGTTCTCAGATTTTACTGAGTTGTTCTATAATTTAGTAATAAAACCTTATTGATTGTCACCCATGGCATTCTCGTTCACTAAATGAAAATAAGGCGAACTACAGGAATCAAACTGCAAGTTTTAACTTGTTTTTGTCAAATAAATTTTTGTTATATCCCTTAAGTAGATAAATTCCATTTCTGACGTTCCGTAACTTAACGTAAGCTACCTCATCGCAGTAGGTTCATTCGTTTATATGTTTACTCTGAACAGGTAGCTTACATTAAGTCACCAATCGTCAGAAGTATGATTTTCCTACCCATTGAGACAATCATATGTATTCGATTATAAGATTACAGAACATATTAGTATAATCTAAAAATCATACATTGGATAATTCATTTACAAAATGTTAATCGATTATCTCCAACTTGACTGTTCCTTATGCATGTGTCATTCAATCGTCTCACACTCCATTGTTCTTTTATTTCCGCAACCAATCATCCTTTGTTTTCGTTCTCTTACCTTCGATCTTCTTTACCTTCTACCATCAGGAATTTCACTTTTGACTGATGATACAAACTTCTTTTTTCTGTCCACATCACATGACTCATAGTTATGCTTAACAATTTTAACTTGCTTC